TAATTTTTACTCATCTAACATAATTGGCTAATTGAACCTAGCCTACATTGTCCATTCTAAATCTTTTTCCTCAAACCCAATTCAATAATTTAATCCAACTTGAACATGTATGGCAATTCATACATTTTTTTTCATCAACTTACTGCTGAATTTGTTGAATGTGTATAGCAGTGTGTATTTGCTATAATTGGTTACTGGATATTACTTTGTTGTATTATATATTAATATATTTATTTGTTTGAGTTGTTTTAAATTTTTATTTTTTTATCAAGAAAAAAATAAAGTTAAATTTTATATATTTAATACTTAACATGGACTCTGAATACCCATAAAAACCTATCATTTCCCGTGGGTATGAGGACATAAGCCATTTTTGCCTCTTGCCAAAAATTTCCATGAGTATCTCTATACCCATCATTGGCAGAGATGGGGATGGAGATGGGGAGGGAGTCTGGTACTCATAGGAAGCCATTGTTATCCCTAGTCAAAATGCCATAATGATATTTATTTAAATGAAATTCAATTATAATTTTATGATATTTTAATGTATCTAAATATTGAATTTCAAAATACATGTATTTAAAATATACACTTCAAATACAAATGCATGTTTTCAAATGCAACCTTAATTAATCTTTTTATGTGTGAATTTATCAATAATATTTGAACATTTTCATTATTATTTTTAATATTTTAATTATTAAGACGGTTTGGTTTTTTGCAATCTCTTTTCTTTTCCATTTTAATGGTCCAATCTTTTTTTTTTTAAAGAGTTTATCTGCCCTCTACCTCAAAGGAGAGGATAAGGGTATTTTAATTACACTTTTTAACATTTAATTTTTATAAAAAAATCACAAATTTTGACTTTATTTTTATCATTAATTTTACATCTATGCTTTTTAATTAAAATGATAGATAAATTAAAATTTATAGTACTTTTTAATTTTTCATTACAAATTAATCATAAAAATGGTATAATAAATGTTTCTTTATTTTTTTTTAAAAAAAATTTAATATTTAAAGATTTTTACCACCTCAACTCCATTTTACTTACCAAAATATGTATTTTGAAGTGATGTTTTTTCTATAATACATGAATAACAATTTGAGAATTTTTCCTAATATATAATTCTTATTAAATAATTTTATTTTATTAAAAAATTAAGATTATCATTTATCTAATATAAAAAACACTACTTAAAAATACTTGCCATGACAGGAAAAATAAAGAGATAATATTAGTTAAAATTTTGAAGTACTTGACATATTTTTGTATCTCAATCATAAAATAGATTAAACATATCATATTTTATGTTCTCATGTAGTTAAAAGATTTGACCTCTTTTTATTTTTTTTTTTAGTGAAATTTCATGTCATTCTTGATTTGTATTTTTTTATTTAAAAAATTATAAATCTC